GCGGGGGGGGGGTGACGCTTTTTTGAGACTTTTTGTTTTGTGGTAAATGCAGTTTCTGTTCTTAAGAATTAGAAAGCTGTGCAGTCTCTGGAGCCCTGGGAAAATGCTGACAGTGCACATCAGCAACACCTTACTGGCAGTGGTGGTAGCTATGCTGCATTTGGGTTTTCCTACTGGGCAAGTCACATCTAGCAGCAGGCAATCCTCTGAGCCCAGCGGTGGTGGAGCTGCCAGGGTAAGCAGAGGACTGGACAATAGCAAGCTCCTGCCATCCAAATGCCAAGACATGAGGTTTGACTACTGAATCCTAAACCATAGGGGTTTCCAGGCTGGAAACAGCTGACCGTTGAAGGGCAGATCCACAGATAGCAGAACTCATACACCCACTTAGGAGATTTCCCTTCCCTGCTCTAATTCTTCTGAAGCTCATGTCTCTCTTCCTGAATAGAGCCATGCTGTCCTTTAAGGGCACCTCTGCCACCTGCAGCAGCATGTGGTCACTGATCCAGGTCCTTCACAGCTTGCAGCAGCTCAGTTACCCTCTTATATCACCTGGAGCCACATTAAAAGCCTGTCCTAAGGCTCGGCAGGGCTCGGCTATGGGGAAGTTACTGGACATGCCACAGAGCAGCAAAATGTCTTTTTTTTCCAAGGGCAGAGATGCTGCTTGGGAAAACACCACCCTAACACTTTAATGGAAAAGCAGGGATGTTGAGAAGCAGGAAGCACAAGACAGTCCTTCCCAATGCCAGCTTGGCTCCAGGACCTCTATCTACAGCGAGAGGCTGCCAGGCATTGCGTGCACTTCTGATAGCCAGCCTGCTACCAGCCAGACTGACCTCCAAGCACACAGCTCTAGGTATGTGGTTTGTTGGTTTATTTAAGTCAGAGCTGGTTCTTTGAGGAATGGGATGGGAAACGAGAGAAGGAGGAAGGAAATCACTAGTAAAATCATACAAGTCAGAAGAAGAATTTGTAAAGAAAAGAGTATCCTTGACTTTAAGAAGAGAAGCTTGTGTCTGCACCCTCCAGAGACACACACTGTTATGACAGAGGCTAAAGCAATGTACTGTACTACATTAAACGCAGGAATTAAGGTGGTTATTGGAAAGCCAGAACTGGGCTAAGTGAAAAAGAAGACTACAAGTAAAAGGGTCAGTTTAATATTCAAGGCAGCTGTTAGACTGAGAAACACCCAGCCACGTACACATGCCGTGCCTGTGAGCAAATGTGCCTTGCAGAAGACCACAGCTGCACCCAAATGGGCAACACCCCTGCTAGCCAAGCCAGGAAGCTCACTGGCATCCTGCAAACTCCTTTGCTGGCCAGTGTGACCGTAGTTGTGGCCATGCTGGAAAAGCAAGGAAGGAAGAACACCCCTCAAAATTTCAGCACTGAAAAACAGAAAGCAACAGTTTAAGAAGCTTCAATAAAAAACAAGTCCTAAGACATGTCTGAAATTTCAGGCTGGGTATTGCAGGCTACCAAAGTTGTAAGTGGAACCAGGGTTCTTTGCAATAGCATGTTAGCCACCTTTAAAAAGGATGCACCACAGCTAGCTCTCTCCAGGTCAGCACCAGATAACACGACCAAGTGGCATTTGTCATCCTGTGACCTGTCAGGAGGGGCAAATACAGTGTTAGACAACACAGAAGGGAGAAAACACTCAAAGTCCTGGAGAACAATAGAGCCTTCTCCATTTCCCCTGAATTCCAAACTTAATCCACCTCCCTCCTGCCAGGTCTCACCTTGCCATGGCTTCTCTCCACCTTCCGGAAACACTTGTTCAAGGAGAGGTTGTGTCGCACCGAGTTCTTCCAGCCGGTGGGTGCCGTGGCAAAGTAGGGGAAGCGCTCCAGGATCCAGCTGTAGATTTCTTTGACTGGCAAGCTCTTGTTGGGGGAATGCTCAATCGCCATGTAAATGAGAAGGCTGAAAGAATAAGGGGGTTTGGAAGTGGAGGATTTTTTTTCAGGGTTCTGGTAGCAGGACGGCGAGAAGGATGGCACGCTGTCGCCCTCGATGTCATATAAGGGGCTAACGATGGGAAGACCCTCGCTTCCGAGGCTGAAGTTTGTGAGCAGGTTAGTACTTTCATGCAGCCAGTTCAAATTTGTAAGCTCATCGTCTGCTGAATCTCTGTCCACCACGGTGGCCTTGGGCCTGCCGGCATCGCCGGCGTCAGGCAGGCTTCCCACTCCATGGCACTGCCGCAGCCCCGCGGCCTTTTCTGCTCCTGGCGTTTCAGCTTTCTTATCCGGAGTCATTCCAGTGACTGGACCCATTGAGCTGTATCGGTCTGCAACAGAGGAGACAGCCAGGAATCAGTGCAAATCTTCCACCAAACCCAAACGCGGGGCTGTGCCGCGCCCGCGCTGCTGCAGGCACTGAGGGGAGCCAGGGGCCAGCATGAGCCCCCCCCCTAAGCTCATGAGGGTGTGTTAACTCCACTGGCTTCATAAACCGAACTTATGGGAAGCACTTCAAAACTGCTCTGTCTCAAACTGCCAGTCTGGTCACAGAAATTACAGCTATTTTGATGTCAACATCTGACATCTGGAAAAGACTTCAACAGGTAGGATCTAATCCAGTCGGCTCCCACAGTAACTCGCCAGTTATTATATCGTAAGTTGACTCTCTTTAGAAGTGTTTGATTCTGAATCATAGAAGGTAGGTCCCTTCCAGTCCAAAGCCTTTAAAGGTCATCTAGTCCAACCCCACTGCAGTACGCAGGGACACCCCCAACTAGATCAGGCTGCTCAGAGACCCATCAAGCCTGATCTTCAATGTCTCCAGGGATGGGACCTCCACCACTTCTCTGGGCAGCCTGTTCCAGTTCTTTACCACCATCATAGTGAAGAACTTCCTCCTAATGTCTGATCTAAATCCACCCTGCTGTAGTTTAAATCCATCACCCCTCCTCCTGTCACTCTATGCCCTTGTAACCAGTCCTTTCCTTAGGCGTTCTTCTGGTACTGGAAGGCCACCATCAGGTCTCCCTGGAGTGTTCTCTTCTCCAGGCTAAACAATCCCAGCTCTCTCAGCATGGCCAGCCCTCTGATCCTTTCTAACAGGTCCATGTCTTTCTTGTGCTGAGGGCTGCAGAGCTGGACACAGTACTCCAGGTGAGGTCTCACCAAAGCAGAGCAGAGGATCAGATCTCTTGATCTGCTGGCCATGCTGCTTTTGATACAGCCCTGTATGCAATTGGCCTTCTGGGCTGCGAGCACACACTATCCAGCTTTTTGTCCACCAGTACTCTCGGGTCCTTTTCTGCAGGGCTGCTCTCTATCCCACCATGCCCCAGCCTGTACTGATAATGAGGATTACCACTACCCAGGTGCAGGACCTTGCACTTGGCCTTGTTAAACTTCATGAGGTTACTCTTCGGGCACCAAAGAGTAAAAAAGCTGCAAAACTAAAATCAGTATAAAGTGAATTTCTAGTCTCAGCACAAATTAAGTCTTTACAACCGCCTACAAGTCACAGTCATTCCCAAGCACTGCCTCCTGTTTCTACCAGGGAAAGATCTGACCATCCTATAAGTTCATCAGCTGGGTCCCAGGGAGCTGCCCAGGTCCAAAATTCCTTCTTTTTCCCCTCCTGCAAGGGCGTGCTGCTCTAACCCAGGCTCCCCAGGTGGTGGGACCAGCTCTCAACAGGATGACAACATCCACTGAGATGTCAGCTCTGACCTGCTGCAGAAATAATGGCTGACCACTTGCTTTGATATCTCCTCTAGATGAAAAAAAAAAAAAACAAAAACAACCAAACCAACCATAAAATTACTATCTATTAAAAGCTGCCACTCGGAACACGTGGTGTAACAGGCTACCCATGCTTGAAAGGCATTAATGCTAACAAAAAAACATCATCTTGCTTGTAGACTTCTAAAAGGGGTCATCTAACAAACTCCATTATGGCAACAGCTCATTTTTTCCTGCTGATGTGACCATGTTAGAGCTCCACTGCACCTACAGCTTTGGCCAACATAGCTATACCAGAAGTACAGACCAACAAAACCACTCTACAGCAGTGGTGTGTATAGATACACCCACACACGTACAGATCAGCCTGCTATAAATGTAAGACATTCCAACTATGGATGCAGTTTACTACCAAATTTGAGGTTCATATTATAAACCCTAAACCTAGACCTCCCCAAAACAACAACAACAAAAGAAACCCCTAGTTTCCTGGCCCAGTATATGCCATCATTCTGATTTTATGCTCCAGCTCCTACTGGAAGAGCTCACTTACAAGACTTGGACACTTTCTGTATCATATCTGACCAGACAGCTCAAAGCTGTTCCTGGATGTTTTCTCACAACACCTAGGGAACACATGGCTTCATGCACTTGCATCTTCTACTGCAAAGTGGAGACAAGGAGCTGGGCCAACTTGTGTGCACAGTCTGGTTGCCCCACCTACAAAACCACATCACCAGCTGGCTCCAACCTGACAGCCTCACCATGTCCATGCAACTGCACTGCCCAGCCTGCCTGGAGATGTTTTTTTCCCAGTCTCCTTACTTTGGAGGAGTGGAGAGATGTGCACAACAGAGGCGTGACATAGAAAGGCAACAGGATATATCCATTTGATGCTCCCCAACAGGAGCGAGCATGCTGCCAGCCCCTGCTTAGCAGTACTAGTGCTGGAAACCATCCCCAAATTTTCTATTTAAGTGCAGGGATGGGCACAATTAACTACCAGCTCAGTCATTAAAAAAAAAAATAAATAAGCATAGCAAACTACTCAAATAGCTGGTCAAAAATAGCTTTGCTCTCCCTACAATTTACTTCTCCCCCAAGCCATCAGAGCAGATTTATATTGGCAGTCAGTGATTGCTGGCTTTAAACACAGCAATATATACATATGCTTATGTCAGTTTTTCAATGAAAAAAAAAACATACAAAAAGCTAGTGATAAATTCATACGGTGAGATAAATGGCAATTCTGCTGCAATGTGAGCTTCCTTACAACAAGTAACTTTAGCTCCTTGTTCAGCACCTCTTTAGCCAGCTACGTACCAGCTTACACCTCTCAGCCTTGTATGAGTAATTTTAGCACTCAGTTCATGTTGCATGAAATGGCCCTTTGCAAATCTTCAGTCAGCACAGTAGATCCAGCACATGCACACACACACGCAAGTTTTAGGTCCCTCTATCTACTCCCTTGGTAAAATGGGGCAATAAAGTCTGTTTTACGACACAAATACGGCCTGGGCATGTTCACGGTCTTCTCAAAAATATAGAGACAAGAAAAACATATTAACTTATTAAACTGGCACTTAAAATCAGGCAGGCTTCGTGTTGTCGCACGACTTGTTTGTATTCTATTATGTGTTAGCAAAGAATCATTAGAATAATTAATATGCTACTTAAAAAAAAACCTATTTGCAAGTGATATACTTACAGTAAATAATACAGGCAAGTGCCACGTTTCTCTTAGTAGATGCATTACAAGAATTCCCATATCTCATATTACTTTCTCAGTGCCTAGTTCAGCACCTTGCACATCTTCTACATGAACATATCAGCAGAAATTAAAATATTTTTTCCCAGAAAGCTATAAAGACCATTATTATACTATTTACATCTAATAAAGAAGAAAAATAAAATCACAGTTCTGTAATTACTGCACGTTTCAAAGGGTGTTCTCCAGTGGTCTAAACTAAAAGCTGCATCAAGGATAATTTAAATACAGAAACAGTAGAGTATGCAACAGGAAAAGTTATTTTACTGAAGTAATACTTAACTCCATTGCGATGGCAGCAACAAGACTGGTAACATCAGGGACAACTGTCAAGGACTGAGGCTTGGTCAACCACTAAATGAATGACAAACACTCTCTATTAGCCCCCCTCCCTT